CCAGTGGACCAATACTGATGAAACAGATTAAAATGGTTTCACAATAATATATATCATATCAAATATATCAAACTATAATGGACATATACTAATAATAATAATGATGCTGGCTGTAATAAAATCACAAGCAAACAACAAACCAAATATTATACAAATATTTTCATGTGTGCTTATATACAGAACATAATCCATTTAATGTTGGTTAATACAGCAACATGCAGTTTTTGATCTTTTGTTAGAGAAATCTTACTATTAACAATTCATACAGATGACTCATCATAGCAGCATAAATGATCATGATCTTCCCCGTTTAATAAACGGATATATTTTGTGTTATTAAATGTGTGATTTTATTTATTTTCCAATATCCATGCTGTTTCTTTCTTCTTCTTCTTCTTCTTTTTAATTGTAAGTAAATAAATAAATAAAATGGGTTAGGACAACAGGACAACCTGTTGTTGATTGGTTCTTGTTGTTTTGAGACAGCAGCTTTGATCATTGATGTGTGGTGTAGATTTAAGCTGCTTCAAACTTCTCTTGTACCTCCGCTAGTTTGTAAGTTAACACCAGAGCACTATTACATTTCCTAGTTGTTTATTATGCTAAACACCCCTTTTTTATTTTATTTTATTTTATTTTATTTTATTTTATTTTATTTTATTTTATTTTATTTTATTTTATTTTATTTTATTTTTGCTTTGCTCTTTGCTCTATGCTCTATGAGAAAACACACTTCTACCCTGTGGGAATCGCCTGCAGTAATATTTGAGGCCACTAGATGTCCCCCTAATGCCTCTACATCATGCAGTAAATAATTGTTATGACTGAATCTCGAATAACAAATTTTCTCAACATTATTCATTTTCTTTGCATTATTAATATATATCCTTTTTTGCCTTTTGACATGATTTTTTTCTACACTCAACCATCAGTGAAATTAAATTATTAAAAATAAAAGAGAGTGGTGTTGGAACTGAGAACAGGGCGTGTATTTCACACGAAGCAGAAAGACCTCGTCCAGCACAGGAAGTGCACTTATACTCTGTCTACAACAATGTTTATGCGAATACGAGGGGAGGCTGATGGAAACTTCTTCTGGGAGTAAAACTGTCAGTTAGAAAAGAAGAACCATGGCCTACTCTCATAAGAGTCTGGGGTTTTCTTCAACAGAGGTGTTTACGTTTGTGCTCTGATCTGTGAACACAAAAGAGAGCTTTGGAAAACTGAACACTAACACTGGAAAAAGGATACAGTGAATTTTCTGCAAACCCTGAGCTTTACCCCACATTTCCTTAAATATACAAAAACAAACAAGAAAATAAACGAAAACAGAAAACAGATATTTTTTTTATTGTTAATTTTCTTTATGTAAAAGTGATTCACATGTTTAATTACCATGGAAATGGCTGTACTTACTTATGATTACATGATATAACTGTAATGGGATGGGCAGGCAAAAAGAGAACAGGCGTTAAAGTGAGACAGTGTAAGAGGAAGTTGAAACAATATCATGCGCACATTGCTGTTTATGTGGCCACGTACTTGCAACAGTCCTTTTCTGTATCTTCAAATGTGTCCGGTCAGACACACAAACAGGTCGGTCTGTAACAATCTATTTAATGCTTTCACATAATACACTTTAATTTGCTAATTACTTTAACACAGGAAAGGAAGTTCATGGGCATTTCCTTAAATTGTAAACGATAAAATTCAGTGCCTGGTTTAAAAAGATGGAAAAACATTGACAGATAGACAAATATTAACAGCTGGAGGTTATCTCGTGGCTATCTTTGTGTCTTTGTAGGTTCGACTAATAGTTATCATGCCAGGGAGTCAGAGACCACAATTCGTGTGTGGACTACGAAACATAGTAATAGGTGAGAGAGTTGAAAATCTTTGCACATGTGTAGATGGTGCACACTGCGATTTGTGACTGACAAAGCGCTGTATCTGCCTCCAGGATGTACCTTGATCATTTTCTCCTTCACATTTGTTGCTCAAGGAATACTTGGTAAGTAAGAGATATTGTTATTGCAATGTTCAGATCAGATTCATGCGAATGTATTTTTATGTGTCACAAAAATCCCAAAAGGTTGATTCTGTTCATCTGGACGTAGCGTTTTCAGTTGGAGAAACGTTTTGTGACTCATCCAAGTGACTTCTTCAGTCTCAGCTGACTGCAGGTTTCCCCAATCTTATAAACAGTACATTTGCATAATGACTGAAACCAGCCCACTGAAGGAACACTGGGCTGGGAGGTCAGTTCCTTGATCATTAACATCATGATCATTGACCAAAGCCCACTGATCAATGGCCATGAGTACCATTCACAGAGAGTTGGGGGATGGCTGCAATCACAGCATTGCAAGATGGCGAAAGATGTACCCTTAAGCCCCCTCCTCAATTCAGAGATGGTCTTTCCCTTTTCACGTAAATGGCCTCCTTCACTCTGCGCTCAAACCAGCGTTCCTCCCTGTCCAGGATGTTACATCCTCATCATTGAAAGAGTGTCCACTGGCCTGTAGGTGTAAATAGACTGCAGAGTCCTGGCCTGACGAGGTAGCTCTTCTGTGTTGTGCCATCCGCATCACCAGAGGTTGTTCCCAATGGAGCCAGGAACTGAGCTCCCAGCCCATTGTTTATTCAGTGGTGCTAGTTTCAGTCATTATGCAAATGTAAAGGGTGGGCCATTTATATGGATACACCGTAATAACATGGGAATGGTTGGTGATATTAAAGTCCTGTTTGTGGCACATTAGTATATGTGAGGGGCAAACTCCTCAAG